CACTCTTGTGCAGAAGCAAACACACAAGATACAGTCGCAATAAAAAAGCAAGTGGGGGAAACAGATGCGACTCCAACAGGAGCCTGGCAGAGTGGTGTGGAGCCACAGAGGGGTCCTGGGAGGCTGCTGTCCCTCCTCCCACCCTGGCCCTAGGCTCCCTGCAGCAGGCCCGCGCTGCCCCCTGGTGGTGGGTGTGGCGCAGCACAGCTTCTCAGGTCTCTTCCCCATCTTGGCCCCTGGATCCCAGACAGGAGGTTTGCTGCCTTGTTCTGCTCTTAGAAGGTGACTGTGGGCCTGAGGTCCAGCTTCAGCAAGCTGCAGACCCAGGGATTGGAGAGAGGCCAAGGGAAAGGTACCCAAGGCCCCTGATAAGAGGGAGAGGGTAGGGGACATCCTGTGGGACTTGAGATGTTTCCAGGTATGGAACAAGGTGAAGAGCAGCAGGAGTGGCTGAAGTGTAGGGCTGGGGGCCTGGGGCTCAGGGTCTGTCTCCTGTCTGTGTGTGAGTGACTGAGACAAGCCCAGGATGCTCCTAGGCTGCCAACCTGTTCCCATGACAGCCCTTCTGTTGGACATTAATTTTCTAATGTTGCAAATAGGACAAAGCAACACAAAACAAAACAAAAACCAAACCCAGACTTTTGAGAAGGTTTTGGAAAAGCTTTATTTCTGCAGTGGGTATGTGGCTAGGCTAAGCAAAACCAGCCACAAATGCGAATAGTTTGCTGGGTTTTTCTTCCCTGGAGCACTGGGCCCTGCCCCTGGGTGGCAGTGTGGCCTCACAGTCTAACTCGATTGGCTAGTTTTGTGTCGTAGTTGCTGGGCAGAACAGATCCTGTGACTCAGGAACAAATTTATGGCAGCTGGACTGGTGTGTAGTAGCCCTTTGTCTACGTAGATTTTTAAAGGAATGGTGAAACAAGCTCATGCACAATTTACAAAAATTGGATTTTACAAAACTAGAGATTTGTATATCCCCTTTGACAGAAAAGACTACCTTTCTCACCCCTCTCTTTGTCCTCTGTCTCTGGTCCCCTGTGCCATGTATGCACACGGACAGGTTCTCCTTTGCCAACAACAGCAGATGGGGTCCTCATAGCTCTCCAAGTGGCAGCCATGGCTTATCTGGACCCCGGATGGTGGCCCTGGCATCCTGAGAGTGCTGGAGTGTAGCCACCTCATGCTGGTGCCCTCAGTGTTTAAACTGCAGGGGTTGAGATCCATACTCCTGGTGCACATCACTCAGCTCTCGCTGGACTCTGGCTCGTAGGCCCTGGGGAGGAAAGCAAGGTCCAGCGTGGGCAGACACTCAGCTTACACACCAACGTGCACAGAGCTCTGCACGCGCAGCCTGTGAACACAGGCACATGAACACACACACACTCAGACCCTCTCCTCCTCACCCCTAGGCCTAGGTCTGAGCCCAGAGGGGTTAAACCCACTTCCTGGGTGCTCTCAGGTCTCCCTGGTCTGAAAACTAATAGGTTTTTGTTGCTATCGCAAATTCTCAGGAGTCCTGAAAGGAGACTAGTGTCCATACTCCCAAGCTACCCTCTCGGCTGTCCTGGGAGCCTGGCCAAGGTTGGACTTGTTTGTCACAGCTGCAGGAATCCTGGGGGGAAGTTGCTGCCTAGGCTCCACTCTACCCCATTATGCCCCCAGCCCTTGTGAGCACAGGCCCCCAGAGCTGTCTTGGATCAGGGCTCCAGGGAGACCCCACCACTGATGCCAGGGCTGCCTGTATCGGGCACTGGGCCTCCTACCTGCACAAATCGCCAAATATTATTGAATGACGATGGTAGCGCCATCTGAGGAAGACCACCACCAGGATCAAGAGGGTGATAGCCACCGGGATTCCCACCAGGTAGCCCAGCCTGGTCTCAGGTGCAGCCTGCAGTTTGCTGGAGCCAGGAGGTAGATCTGGAAGACAGGTGGGCGCTTTCTCATCATCCTGCCCCAGCATCCTCATCTCACCCGTTGGTCAGGTTCACAGATATATCCGCTGCTTGCTTCTACCTTTCCACGGGGGTACCCATGAGGGAGAATGGGAGGTAGGGGTGCAAGGTGCCAGGTGGGAGAGGCTCTGGGAAGTGGAAGCAGAACCTCCAAAGACAGAGGAAACTGCAGCGGGGCCTGTACCTGGTGACAATGGTGAAACACTCCAGCAAGATGTAGATAGCGCTGGACATGGCTCCACCTCCTGCTCCTGCTGGGGCTCTGCAGGACAGACACCACTGTCAGGTGGGGGTAGGCCTTACACATGCCTAGCTCCGGGGAGCAGGAGTCCAGATGGGGTTCCTAGAGTCCCCCTTGACCCAGACTGCAGTCCCTGGCCCCGGGCTCAGGCAAAGGTAATAGACTAAAAGGTGGGAGGGGGCAGGAGAGCCTGAGGGTGGATGAGGCCCCAGGAGTCATGCAAGAAAGGAAAGCATCGGGTGGGTGGGGCTTTAGACTGGCAGGGCCCCTGGCTCACTCCTGTGGTGCAGGGAACCCAGGCCCAGGCAGGAGAGACCTCTCCCCTGTGCTCCCTGTACCTCAGCCCCTCTTCCACCCTCCTCCTTGCTCCCTAGTCCTCACCCAAGACGTTCAGCCTGGTTTTCTTTTTGTTTCTCTGCAGCCCGTGAAGTTGCCACAGGTACAGCCCTGCGTGGGCATCCTGGGCAGGCTGGATCACCAGCTGGGCCAGGCCCCCTTGCACCTGGAGCTGCCACCCTTCTTGGGAGAAGCTTCCTGGGGTTGCCTCGCTGAAGATGGTCCTGGTCTCCCCATGAGCGCTCAGCTGGATGGTGACGTGCCTGAGGGCGTTGGAGCTGTTGCAGGCCAGCACAGCCCTCTCTCCCCTGGACACGAACACCTCGCCCTCCGTGCAGATGGGCCTGTCCCACTCTGTGGAGGAATAGTCACCTGAGGGCAGGCCCTGAAGAAGGCCTGGCTGCTCTCCTGGGGGTCTCCAAGGACACAGCAAGCTCTTTATTTGCCTAATCAGATTGAAGCAGCAGCAGCAGCACATGGCTCCTATGTGGCAGGGGCAGAATCAGTGTGTGGAGGGGGCTGCTGTGACCCAGCTGGGAGCCAATGAAAGTGTCCCGTGGCCCAAGCCAGCTGGTCTGCAGGATATTCCTGCTGTCCCTTCTCCTGTGTGTTCCATGGGGTGAGGGGGGAGTGTACACATCCTGGGGGACCTGACCCCGAATCCTTGTTGTCCTGGGTTGGCTACCAGTGACCAGAACTGCATTGTCATTAAAGCTGCTGTGGGATGTCCCTGAGTGGCTTAAGGGATCCCCAGAACTGGAGATCTGTGTTGAGGAAATCTCTGGGAGCCTGTTGGGACCCAGGCTGTGTAGGGGCCCCCAGAGCCTCTGGTCTCTGAAGGCCCAGTAGCTGCAGAGGCTGATGGTTAGGGCCGAGTCTGCCACTGGGACAGTGGCCCTCAGTCCTGTGGAGCCGCGCCTCCTTGGTCCGGTCTTAGGCCCTGGCCCCCATCTCCTGCATTCCCTTTCCCTGGGAACCAGATCTGAATTTAGTTATCCCCCTCCCGGGGCTCTGACAGTGAGTGCCATGGGATGCCAGGGACACCTGCCATCTGCCATCCTTGGGGCACCTGGCCTGCCCTTCCCTCCCAGGGCACCAGCTCTGCTTCTCTCCCATGGTGCCTGCGTGTGCAGGGTCCATGCCCTCTCTTGGACCCTGAGTCAGGCTAGGCTTCACCTTGGTCTCCCATCCCTGCTTTCTTGTCCCCTAGGCCCTCCCCTGGCAGGATGGAGAGACCTGAGACCTACTTCCATTCTGAGTACTCAGGGAGGTGGCCACGAGCAGGAGGGTCCCAAGCATTCTGAGGACCATGCTGGGAGGCACCCAGGGACAGGTGTGCATGGCTGCTGGTTGGCAGTAGGCCTTCAGGTCCCTGGTCCTTGTCCTGTAGACCCTGGAGAAAGACAGCACAGGGATCAGAGGCTGTGGACTGAAGCAGAGGTTGAGGTGGAGCAGCTTTGCCTGGTCAGGGCTGACAGCCCAGGTCCTCAAATCAGTCCACCAGTTGTGCTTCCGATGCCCATGCCTCTGCTGGACTCTCAGCCCTCAGTGTCCAACCTTTGCTCCTGTTGTTTTGCTCCATGCAATGTGAGGTGCTGGCTGTGACAATCCACATGGAGGTGGCAGAGCCTCTGCTAGGGGTCCCGGTGCCCAGCTGTCTTCAGTTATGTTGTGCTGGAGAGCTCTGTGCCAAATTAGCAAAACTGTGCCTGCAAGGCCTCCCCAGAGGGTCTGGCCCAGAATGCCTGCACCCTGCAGCGCTGATGCTGCTCTGACCTCTGTCCTGGGCCCGGTGATCTCTTTGGCCAGGGGCGCTGCTGGCTTCAGGACCCCTCCTGGATATTGTAGCACTGGCCACCTTGCCTTGCTGCCTCGTGCTAGCAAAGTTCTGAATGGAGCACCTGTGTGACCTGGCAAATGAGGTGGTTTTTTTTTTTTTTTTTCGTTTTGAGCCAGGGTCTCACTGTGCAGCTTAGCCTTGAGCTCACAATTCTCCTGCCTCAGCCTACCAAGTTCTTGGATTACAGGCATGTGCCACCAACCTGGCTTATGGGAACTAAGGATTTTTTTTTTTTTTTTTTTTCGGAACCAGGGATTGAACTCAGGCCTGTGCACTTGCCGGGCAAGCGCTTATTCTACTGAGCTATCTCCCCGGCCCCAGGAACTGAGGTTTTGCTTGCTCTGAAACAGCAGCAAATCACCTCTTAGATCATTTCCTACCATGTTTGGCTTGGGTGGTGAGAGTGGAATTTGCTCTGATTGATGAGGCCAGTTAAAGGTTGCAGTTTTTTGTTTTTTTTTTTCAATCTGATTAAAAATATTTTTTTCCAGTTAAAAGCATTTTTCAGTTACTTGCCCACTTGTTGAGATGAAGGTATTTTTTTAAACTAAGAAGCTTTTTTTTTTTTTAAAGAAGCTTTCTTATTTCCTTTTTTTAATTATTTTTTTAACATTTATTTATTTATTTAGTGTGTGTGTGTGTGTGTGTGTGTGTGTGTGTGTGGCCAGCTCAGCCCACCAGGGGGCGGGGTTGGCTGGCATGTGGTGCTGGGGGATTGAACCGCGGTCCCTGTGCTTTACTAAGCTTAGCTTGTTCTAAGTAGGTGCTTTAAACCACTGAGCCATCTCACCAGCCCCTCTTATTTCTTATTTTATGTACTTATTTTTGGTACTAGGGATCGAACTAGGACCTTGCCAGGCAGGCACCATGCTCCAAACCTTTTTATTTTTGTTTCTGAGCCATTTTACATTTATAGAAATATCGATGGGAAAGTACAGAGGGCTCCCACACATCTCTCACCTGACCTGAACTGAGGTTTTCCCTATTGGGCACATTTTACAGGTGCTCTCATGGTCTATGAGGGACCAAGCTATAGCTCGTCCTGTCACCCAGAGCCTGTGCCACCCTGGGACTCACTCTATTCTTGGAGGCCTGTAAGGCACGGGGCTCATGGCCCTGGGCTTCCCCACTCTGGTCTCCTCTTACTCTCCTGTCCCCTCACTCTCTCCACAGCTGCCCTTTTGGAATGCCACATAACTGGGGCCCTTTAGTTACAGCTGATTTTTGGTTTTTGTTTGTTTGTTGCTTTTTTGAGACAAGGTCTGGCTGTGTAGTTCAGGCTGTCTTCTTTCTTTATTTTATTTTATTTTTGAGACAGGATTTCACTATGTAGTTTAGGTTAATTTTGAACTCACTTTGTAGCCCAGGCTGCCTTGAACTTGCAGTAACCCTCCTGCCTCAGCCTCCTCCAATGAGTATTGGGATTACAAGTATGAACCACTAAGCCTGGCTTAAACCCTGTTTTTATTTCATTTTTATGGGCTTGGGTGGAGGGCTGGGGCACAGGTACCTTGAGTTTCACAGACATTCTGGAGTTTGAGAACAAGGGCCCCCAGGGCGGTGCTGCGCAGGGACAGGGCTGGGGGGAAGGCATGCTCACCCTTCAGGGCTGTGGGTAGAGCCCCCTCCTCCGCTTGGGTTCCTGGGCCCCCAAGCCTGTTGTTACCCATCTTCCCCACTCCCACCAGTGGTGGAGGAGGCCAGGACCTCTGCAGGCCTCCAAGCCAGTGTAGACAGCAAGGACAGGCGGGAGTCTGGTCACACAGGCTGGTGTGCTTGTCTCTTGGTTGCAAAGACCTCTCCCTGTCTCTATTTTATTGTTGCAAGGAGGTGTCCCACAGGCTCCTTGTAAAAGAGCCAGCAAGAGTGTAAAGTGGGAGGAAAGAGTCGGGGGGGCGGGGATGGCTGGGGGAGCCAGAGCCCACCTTGCATGACCCTTTCGGGTTGCTCCTTTCATTTGCTAACCTTTTCCCATGTTTCTTAGGAATTGTCTATCTCCTTGTGTGAGACCTTTGTGTGTTAAGGAAGCACATTGTCAGGCGGGAGGCTTGTTCGACCTCCATTGTTCCTGTTTTCTGGGAAAAGACTGTAAATGTTAATGTCCCTATCTGTCTTTTCCTTTAATGCTTCAAAGTTTTATTTTAAAATGTTGTTTGTTTAAAAAAGTATCCCCTCCCAACAAACAAACAAACAAACAAACAAACATGCTGGCCCTGGAGGCACATGCAGACCTGTAATTCTAGCCCTGAGGAGGCTGAGGAGGAAGGATCAGGAGACTGAGGTCACTTGGGCAACTCAGTGCCTTAGTGAGGTCCTGTGTTTTAGTCCACCTGACAGTCATTCTGTAAGCAGGGAGCAACTGGGGGCAGCAGGTTGAGCTGGGATACCTTTAAGGGGAATTCCCTGTCCCCAGTGCCACCCCTTCCTTGGGGCCCTGCCATCGGGCATATCTCAGCCATCCTCCAGGTGATGCCAGGGCCACAGTTTCAGGGAGTGACTCTGTCACTGCCCTGACATCTGGCCAGATAGGTGGCCCTCTAGCTCTTCATCTTCCCTTAGATCATCCTGGACCACCCTTTCTCAGAAATAGGAGCTTTGTGAGCTACCTGAACCAGCCCGAACCAGCCCGAACCACGCAGAGGCGGCAGGCAGCCTTACCCTTCCTGCCTCTGCACAATTGCCAAGATCAGTTAAATAGTTCAGCCTTATTCTGTGCCACTGGGAACCATCTTGATTCTAGAAAGATCTTATCTGTGATATTTTTACAGAACATTTTTCTTGTATTGGAAGGTAACTCTCAACAAGTTCCCTACCAGCCCTCCTGACCATGGACAGTCCTCCACTAGGCCTTCCTGCTGTGCCCAGTCCTCGCCTGCCCCTCTGCCAAGGAGGAAGTGAGCCCTGCCTGGGCTGCTCTCCTACCCAGTACTGGACCCAAGGAGCTGTACCTCAGGGTGGAGGGTGCAAGCCTGGCCACTGCCTGCCTCTGTTCCTTTAGGGGCTGGAGCCCTGGCGCAGCTCCTGGAGGAAGCCCTGACCCAGGCCTGAGGAACTTTCAGTCTTTGCTCCCCCCTTAGGCACAGCCTCACACCTGCGCATTGGCAGTGAGCAGGGGCACAGCATAGGCTATGGGCATGGCTGTAGGACGTGCCTCAAAAGCTTGGGCTCAGCCGTGTGGTCTCCTCCAGGTCTCGGTGGGACCCCTTCCCAGGCCCTGCCTCTGCTCCTTGGGTGGCTCTTATGATGTGGCCATCTGACTCGGACTGGAGCCAAGACCAAGCTGGAGTTGGGAGCTGGTCAGTGTGGCCAGTGTGGCCTGACAGGGGTGGCGGTGGGCTCAGGCCCATAGCTGCGCAGGGGGTGCAGGAAGCTGTGGCAGAGCAGGGTCTGGAGCTGAGGGGCAAAAGTGGGGCCAACTCACGAGCCAGGTGGCCACTTCTTCCAGTGGCCAAAGGGACTCAGCTCTGCTGTCACTACCATCACTGCCTAAATGCCCCTCCTTCCAGGCTCCCAAGCACTCAGAGCTGTTTTCGGGAGCAGGTCACCACTCTGTACACCACTGCTCCTGATGACTTCAGGATGTGATGGCAAAGCCACCGAGGGTCCTGTCATGACAAGAAGGCTTCTTGTGAGAGCAAATGCATGTGAGTGACACTGAGTGTACACATGGTCGTGTATGCGTGTGGGTGTGCACAGATCTGTTCAGACGGTGTGATGAGTCCAGAAGCCCAGCAGCCCTCAGCCCTCTCTGGAGAGGTCACAGGCAGCTCTGTCCCATCCTAGGGACTCCACAGTGCTGCTACTGCTCCTCCCAAAGCCCAGACGAGGCCCCCAAAGAGATGCAGATCCCTTGGGCACCACACCTGGACCACCTGCCCCCTCCTCCTGCCCACACCGTGCCTGGCTAGTGACCCTGGACCTGCCTTGCTCCCTGCTCATCTCTGAGGCAACAGGCGACAGGGGCTGCAGGTCCAACAGGTGCCACAGCCACGTACTCCATGTGCCCCCCTGAAAGTCCCCAACCCCTGGAGCGCCCAGACCCTTGAGTCCTCACCTCCTGCCTCCCAGCAACTCACCTGCTGCCTCCTCCCACAGAACCTCCAGTTGCTCTGAGGCCTCCAGCTTCTGAGCCTTTCCAGCTAGAGGAAAACTCAGGGACTGCAGGGGGCGGGGCCGGGAGAGAGGGGCAGGGCTGCGGGGCTGTCCTTGCCCAGGGAGGAACTGCTTCTGGGAAGAGCAGGAGTTTCAGGAACCTGCCTGCGTGCACAGGAGTTTCTTGGGGCTGCGTGGGCTAAGGTGTTTCTGTTAGAAGCTGTCAGCAGCTGCTCTCAGGAAGAAGCAGGCAGAGGCAGGAGGCCTATCCAGGAGAGCGGGGCAGGGCTGGTCCTTGCTCCAGGACAGGGCCCAGGAAGGATCTACTTTCCCCAGGTTTCAGGGCCAGGAGGACCCACCATGTGCTGGGGATAGGCAGATGGAGGCAGGCAGGGTGGCTGCCCATGCCCCTCCCTGTGCCCAAGGCTGAGCTGTGGGGAGGGTGGCAGTACTGGGTGTGGGGCAGAGACCCACAGCAGGGCTGGGTGGTGAGCAACAGGGGGCTCAGAAGTCCCTGTACTTCTTTGTTCCTTCCTCACTAGGATCCTAGGTTCTGTGACTCAACCTCACATACTGAGGTTGGTAAAAAAAGTTCTTATTTCATGTAGATAGGTGTGTGCCACCACACCCCGGTAGAAATTTAGCAGTTTGTTTTGGCTTTTTGAGACAGGGTCTCACTATGCAGTTAAAAGTAAAACTCGAATTCACTATGTAGCCCGAGCAGGTGTCGAACACGCGGTGGTCCTCCCGACTCAGCTATAGTCACAGACGTGTGCCACCATACCCAGCTGGAAATTTAGCAGCTTTAAATTTTAGCCTGGTGCTGTAGTGACCAACTGTAAGCTCAGCTACTCAGGAGACTAGGGCAGGGCACCACAGAGTTGAGGGCTGCCTGGACCACGTAGCAAGATCCCAATTAAAAAAGAACAACAACACAACCCCAAAACAGTCAATTCTTACCCAGCTGGCATCTCTGCTTCTGGTACACCTCTTGAATCCTTGTAGTGCATTCTGTTTTCCATCTGATTAATCACTCACCCTGAACATCTGTTTTTGTTGTTTCTGCTGTCCCACCCATCAGTTGTCTTGGTATTTTGATTGATATGTATTGTTTACAGCTTAATTTTAGAAACAATCACATTGTAATACCACTCCTTTGTAGCTATGACCAAGAAATGCCTTCCTTCCCACTTGTTGGAAGGCTCTCTTTCATTCTTCAGTATTTCATAAGTTTTTCTTTACATGACTGCATTGATTTTTTTTTTTTTAAAGTATAGAGTCTATAGGGTCTCACTACACAGATAGGATTTGTAGGGATCCCTCTGTTTTCAGCCTCCCAAGTGCTGGGATTACAGATGCGTGCCACCATGCCCAGTCTCAGTCCCCTCAGTGTGCCCTGGGGGCGGGGCCAGCATGGCACTGGCGGCATCAAATCTCCAGCCCCGGTGTTTGCAGGTGCTTTAATCCTCTGACCTATCTGGCCAGCCCTTTGCATTGAATTTTTTATACTAACAATTTGGGGGACATTCTTGTAGCCACTCTCAAAGGTATGACTTCTTCCTACAAGTGAACATGCACATACATAGGATGCAGGACTGGGCAGAACACCATATTGCTCGACAGCCACAGGAGGGGTGGTTTATGCTCAGCCAGGGTCACCTGCTGGAAACCCCACAGAGTGCCCTGGCTGCCCCAGATGCCCACCTAGGGTGCCCAGGTGGTGGGGGAGGGCGTGGGTGCTCTGGTTCTCTAAGGGGAGATATGGAAAGGGAAGAAAGGTGGTAGGAGAAAACCTTCCAGGGACCAGAGCTGTCCAGACCACAGGAAGGAGCCTGGGGTCCAGCTGGCCCCCAAAAGCCTGACAGTGGCCCAGAAACCCTCTCTGCTCTGTGAAGCCACTTGGGGTTGAGGGTGACAGCATTTCTCCTCCTGTAGGCTGGGGGATGCTGCCCACTAGGAGGCCCTCAGACACTGCCCTGCAGAGGAGGAGCAGCCAGGGCAGCAAAGGTGTTCTCAGGGCATGGGCAGACCACCCTGCCAGTGTGCGCTCCAGCATCACCAGTGTAGGAGCTGGACTCTGGTTCTTCTGTCCTTTCTTTCTTTCTTTCTTTTTTTAGCTCTGAGGAGTGAACCCAGGACCTCACAGGTGCTAAGCAAGGGGAGAACTGGGCTTTTGATAGCCCCTGTCCCCAAATTGTGCCCACTACTAACCCTGCTTTAGGAGGAGCTGCTGTCCCCTGGGCGTGGTGGAGAGAGAGAGAGGCAGTGATCTGCTCAAGTTTCACGCCTACTGTTGTAGTCAGGGATTGCAAGGGAACGGATTTAATACAGGACACATAACTTACAGGATTATTTTATAATATTCACCCCAAAAAAATCAAATGCAGAAGAGCACAGGAGATCTGTCCACACACTAGAGACTCAAAGACTCCAGCTGAGGGCTTAGATCTCATGGCAATGTCCTGTAGAAGTCCAGCTGAAGACCTAGAGCCCATGGTAATGTCCTCCGTGCCTCCAACAGGAGGCCAGGAGCCCAGAGCAATGTGTCTTGCAAGTCTGTATCAAGGATCTGTACAGATAAGGCCCAAAAGTCAGTGGTGGGAGCTAGAAGGTCTGTGCCGGTGGGGTGAAGGATCTGTGCCAGCAGGCTGAGGGATCTGCACTGGAGCCAGCAAGCAACGCTCAAGGTAAGGACCTGAGCCTCTCTGGAAGGTACCACAGCCATCCTCAGCAACAGCTAGGTTCCGAGCTCCTCCAATGATGAGAACAGTGCAGGTCAAGAAAACCAGCATGACGAGCTTCTCCAGGAGAATTAACAGCACCCCATCTTCCCCTCTGGTTCTCTGCTCATGCTGGTGGAAAAAAATGCACGGTGGGCCTTCCATACTTGCCACTATGCACACTCAGTTCAGCTGGATGTTACAAACTGACCATTATTCACCACACCTACATCTCTTTGTTTCTGATGCCCTTTCCTTTTTGGGGACAGGCCACCCAGTGGCTTTCTGGTGTCACTTTTCCTGAGTGGCCAGGCTGTGGGAAGGGAGGAGGCCAGTAAGGAATAGGAGGGCACAGGCTGGGTGTTCTGTCACAGACACCTGCTCTGGGGTGACTTTAGACATTAAGATACTTTCTGTCCCTCCCTGTGAAATGGTTTTTCACTGGGTGTTCATAAGATGCAGGTAAAGAGAAAATAACCACTCGTGAGGCGCTCTGGAGGGAGCTTGGAGGCCTCTACCAGTTTTTCCTCAGAGTTGATGGTGCCCTCTGGGCTGGTGGCCTTTTTCCCTTTTGCGTGGTGTGAGGGTGTCACAGGCCTCTGTGAGGTGCTGGCTCAACGTGGATTATTTCCAGCTCAGTTTCTTCAGCAGATCACTGGCTAAGAGTTGAGTGAGAGCCCTGAGCAGCGAGAGGCAAGGCTGCTCCACATGCCGGGGAGCCCATATTGAGCCCCATAACCTCCACCAACCCTATGCCAGGGGCTCCAAAGGTTGGCAGCAGTGTGAGGGATGCCAGAGTGTATGACCTTCATATGGATGATGGTCTGTGATTTCAGGGCAGCTGTCCTACCCACCCTCTCCAGCCTGTGCTCACCTGGCTGACCACTAGCCTCCTCCTGCAAGAAGCCCAGTAGAAGACAGTGGTCCTGCAACCCACAGGGTGTGGGTCCCTTTGATCTGAGAACTTGGCTTGAGTCCTTATGGGAAAGGAGGTCATATCCCAAGTGACCTCTCAGAATGGGCCCATGACCTGCTGCTGCCGAAGGCAAGACACCAGGATGCTCACCTGTAGGGATGAGTCACGGCCATTGCTTGACCAATTTGCTCTCTGTGAGAGCCTGAGAGATTTTTTTCTCTCCAGGAGACTCTCCTTAGGCACACTGTACATCATTGATCACTTCCTTCCGTGGCCCCATAATCTCCTTGATCAGAAAATCTGAGTCACAACTGAGTTACAACCGAGGTTCTCTTATGTTCTGAGTCCTCACTGACCTTGAAGGGCTAGGATCCAAATATTGGCTATCCTTTTAGCCCATCTATCTCTTTAAGTTTTGGTCTGAAAACTTTAGTTGTTAAACATCCAGAAGAGAAGATTAATGACATTATCCTGTAACAGAGGTTGTTGAGCTTAATATTACTATCTATCTGAATATCAAATACTTTAGAATTAAAATGAAACTGTTACTTTCCAACAACCATGGACATTCTAATATTTAAATCCCTATTGAGGCCCGCAGCGGGAAACGCACCAATTTATCCGCACACCACCTCAACCAGAGAAGAAGATGCTAATTAAAGTGAAGACACTGACCAGAAAGGAGATTGAGATTGACATTGAACCCACAGACAAGGTGGAGCGAATCAAGGAGCGTGTCGAGGAGAAAGAGGGAATCCCACCACAACAGCAGCGGCTCATCTATAGTGGCAAACAGATGAATGATGAGAAGACAGCAGCTGACTACAAGATTCTAGGTGGTTCTGTCCTCCACCTGGTGTTGGCTCTGAGAGGAGGAGGTGGTCTTAGGCAATGATGAGTCTTCCCTCCTCTGTACCTCCCTACCCTGTTGCTCATAGTGAAGTATATATTCTGTCACTGGCTGGGACACATGAGCCGTTGCCTCCTGTCTTGGCTGCCCTGTGTTGTGTATTTACAGATGGGAGACTGAGGACCCCAGGATGCAGTGTTCCTGGCCCAACGGGCCTTTGCTGACTAGTGGGTTTTAGTTTGCAGTCCTGTGCACTTCCCTCTTATGGCTGTGTCCCTGATTGCCAATAAAATATTTCCTAGCCTTCAAAAAAAAAAAAAAAATCCCTATTGAATGTTAAAAAGGCATTACACATTTTTACACAGAAATTTAGAAATCAAGCCATATACAGCATTGTAGCAGGTCAATCCTGAAATTTTGTGACATGTTTACATTTTCGTTTCGACATGACTCTTTTAATCAATTTTCTTTATCTAATACATAAGAATTTTTCACCTAATTAATTATCCTTAAATGGGACATACATCACAAGG